ATTAAAAACATGAATTAAAATTGCATCATAATAATAATATTTTCAAATTTGTAATATATTTCATAAATTATCAAATTTTTATCATAACGATATCACATCGATATGGAATCAATATTGATGTGATATCGTTATGATATCGAATCGACATAAATATTGTAATGATATCGATTCGATATAGTTACGATATTATTGTGATATCGAATCGATATCGTTAGAATTTTAAGGGTTTCTGTAAAGTATTATTTAAATTAAAATATTAAATTCTACAAAACATTAAATTTTTAAACAAAATTTACATACAAATCATTAGACGAAATTGATGCAGCATATGCTGAACTAGCAAATGAAACCAAAAAAGATAAAAAAAGGTTAGATAATAAGAGACATGCTAGAAAAAGATTCCTTAAAAGACAAGAAAGAGAACAAAATGTTGAGACTGAAGCTGGACCATCAAGTAGAACAAGATCCCAAACTGAAGATAATGCTTCACTATCTTCTAGAACAAGATCCAAAACTACTAAAAGCATAAATTTGAGAAGACAAAGTTCAATTATTGAACAAATATCTCAAAAAAAAGCTGATAGTTAAGAACAAAAAAAAATTTATGATCGTAAAAGATATATTGCAAAACAAGAACAAATAAGAGAACAATTCTTAAAATTAGGATATTGCAATATAGATAATTATACAGAAGATAGAGTAGAAAATAATAGACACAGATTTGATAGAATGAATAATATCTGTGATCATTGTTATGCATTAAAATGAAAAGATGAAACTAAAGGATTTTGTTGTCTCAATTGTCAAATTATTTTGGCAATTCTCTCACCAGTTTTACAAACAATATACAATTTGCTTATACAGAATGATCCAGAATCAGATGAACCTTTTGTAACTCAGATTCAAGCATACAATCAGGTTCTTGCATTTACATCTTTAGGTGTAAACCTTGATGAGAAACTTGCAAATGCCAAAGAAGGGGTTTACACATTCAGGATTCAAGGAGAATTATATCATCAGATTGGTGATCTTATGCCAAAAGATAATGATAAAAAGCCAACATTTGCTTAGATTTACTTTTATGATTCAAATTTGGATAGCCAACTTCAAAGGAGATAAGAAATATTTCCAAGTTTGAATGCTGAAATGCTCAAAGCATTACAAGTTGAACTTAATATGATCAATCCATTTGTTGATTAATTTGTAATCTCTGAAATAAAAGCAAAAAGTGAATCAGATAATTTATATTGGAAAATAGTCATTCATAATATACATGACAAGGATATAAGAAGATATAATAAACCAATAGCACCAGAAGTTGCAGTTCTCCTTTGTGACTATGATACTCAACCAGATTATAGAGATATCATTATAAAAACTCGAGAAAATAAGTTAAAACACATTTCTAAGTTAAATTGTGCTTATGATCTATTATAATATCCTTTGCTATTTTCTTATGGTGAATATGGATGGCATAATAATATCTTACGAGCAATGAAAATGAATCCAAACCTAAATCTAAAGTTGAATCAGAAAATGAAATGCAAATTGATGAAGAGAGAATTGTGCAAGAAATCAGAGATACTAGAGCAACTCAAGATTTTCAAAATCTTGATTTAGAATCCTTTTCAAGTTCAAGTAAAAATAAGGGTAAAGAAAAAGAAGTAAAAATAAAAATAGAACCATATCAAATATATACATCTGAACAAGATGAAGAAGAAATTGAACCTATAATTATTTCTGATGATGATGAAGAAATAAATATTGATGAAAATAAAAAATTGGAAAATCAACAACAAATTAAAAAAAGAAAACGGGTTACAATTAGAGAATTTGCAGTATATCGAATGCAAACTAGAGATTCAAACAAAATAAAAAGTATATTGCACCTTTTCAGAAGATTATTTCAACAATATTTGGTAGATCAACATGCTAAAGATGAATCAAATTGTTTGAAATGGTATAGAGAAATGCAGCAAAATTTTAGATTTGAATTATATTCAAGTTTGCATGACATTGTCTTTGATAAAGATTTTTCTAGGGATAAGATTGGAAAAAAAATAATCTTATCATCTTCATTTACTGGATCTACCAGATACATGCAACAATTATATCAAGATTCTATGATAATAGTTAAAGAATTTGAAAAGCCTGATTTATTTGTAACTATCATTTGCAATCCAAATTGGCCAGAAATTGTAGTAGAACTTTTGCCAAATTAATAAGCGAATGATCGACTTAATATAGTTACAAGGTATTTAAATTAAAATTAAAAGAAATCACCCATGATCTTTTTGTGAAAGGTGTTTTAGAAAGGATTATTGCTCATGTGTATGTAATTAAATTTTAAAAAAGAGGATTGCCACATACACATATTTTAATGATCTTATCGCCTAAAGATAACCAAAATTACCAGAGAATTTTGATCAAATTGTATGCGCAAAAATTTCTGATAAAGATTAACAACCATTATTATTTTCAACAGTTAGTAGAAATATGATTCATGGAACTTGCAGAGACTTAAATCCTGAATTACCTTACATGGTTAATGGAAAATGTAACAAACATTATCATAGAGAATTTGCTGCAATAATAATAACTAGTAAGCATGAATATCCAATATATAAAAGAAGAGATAATAGAAAGATAATCAAAAAAGGAAAGTTTACTATTAATAATAGATGAGTTGTTTCTTATAATCTCTATTTATGTCAAACATATGATTGTCATATAAATGTAGAGATATGTTCAAGTATTCGATTAGTTAAATATCTCTATAAATATATTTACAAAAGATATGATTGTATATTATATCCATTGAAAGCTTATAAGATGAAATTACAAAGTATCTAAATATAAGATATATTTCTGCTATCAAAGCATCTTGGAGATTATTTAATTTTGGTTTGCAAGAAAGATCACATAAAGTTGAATGACTTTCAGTTCATTTAAAAGGTCAACATAATATTATCTTTTGAGAATATAAAGATCTTTCAAGTGTTTTAAAAAAATCCTTACATACAAAATTAACTCGTTATTTTGAAATATGTAAAAATAATTAAGATAATTTGTTTATAAGTAATTTGCGTTATGTTGATATTTTGTCTAAGAAAATGGAAACTGGCAATAAAAAAAAAGAGGTAGTGAAAAAGTTATTTCAAGAATATATACTTGTAGTCTAAGAAACAAGGAAAGATTTTATTTAAGAATTTTATTATCTCAAATTTGTGATGCTATTTCTTTTGATAATATAAGTACTATAAATGATATTAAATATTCTGATGAAGAAGCAGTACGTCAACTTGGATTATTAGATGAAGAAGATAATGAATTTGATAAATGTTTTAAGGAAGCTACGAGCTATCAAATGCCATCAAAACTAATATAATTATTTGCCTCCATATTATTATTTTGTAATCCAAATAAATTGAATGCAATGAAACTTTTAGTGGATCACATAGATGATTTAAGTGAAGATTATGAATATCAACAACACCAACTTAAAAATACTAAAGATTTGGATGATGATGATTATGAAATTGTAATCACAAAACATTAATAGATATTGAAAAATATTTATTACCATATGAAAGATATTTAAAAGATTATTCTATTAGTCATCCTGATTATTCTTTAATTAAAATAAGTAAAGAATTTGAAAAATCAGATCTAATAATGGAAGAATTAAATTATAATTTTAATGATTTAAAAACTCTTTTAAAAAAAGAGAATCTTTTAAATATTGATCAAAAAAGAATTTATGATAATATTATCCAAATATTTAACATTGAATCAGAAGAAAAAACACAAACAGTATTTTTTGTTGATGGTTTTGAAGGTTATGGAAAGACCTATTTATTTAACATGTGGGAGGCGGTCAGTAGAAAAGGGAGAAATCCAAATTTTGATCAAATTTATATTATTGGATCGCTTGGCTGATCTCGGTCATGTGTACAAAATTAGCTTAATAATTAAAATTAACAAAAATTTTGGATTTTCCCCTTTTTTACTAACTGCCTCTTATGTTTTTAGCAAAAGTAAGATTAGATATTGGAATTGCTATTGCTGTTGCTTCATCAGGAATTGCAGCTCTATTATTAGATGGTAGAAAAACAGCACATTCAAGATTTAAGATCCCCATCAAGTTGACAGAAACATTAACTTTAAATATAAGTTATATATCTGATTTATCCAAATTAATTTAAATGACAAAACTTATTATCTGGAATGAAGCACTAATGGCACATAAGTTTGCTTTTGAAGCAGTTGATAGAACTTTTAGAGACTTAACTAAAGTTGATAAACTATTTGAAGGCATAATTGTTATCTTGGGAGGAGATTTTAGGCAAATACTACCTGTAGTAATTCGAGGAAAACGTGGACAAATTGTAGATGCTTGCATTAAAAGTTCACTTTTATGAAATCATGTTAATATTATGCGTCTAACTATTAACATGCAAATTCAACAATCACAAGATGATGAGCAAAAACAATTTGTAGATTATCTATTACAAATTGGTGAAGGAAAAGAATTAACACATGCAGATATTGGTGAAGACATTATAAGATTGCATGATAATATAATCTTTAAAGATGAAAAAATTGAATCTTTAATATCAGAAATCTTTGATAATATTAAAAATATTTTGAATGATCAGACAAATTATATCAATTACATCAAAGATTATGCAATTCTTACAGTAAAAAATGATGATGTTGATGATATTAATGAACAGATAATTAACAACTTCTTTTCTGGATAATCTCAAGAATTCTTATCAGCAGATTCAGTAGAAGATAAAGATTCTGTTTATCAAAATCTTTATTCAATAGAATTTTTGAATACATTAACACCAAGTGGAACACCACCTCACTGATTGGTACTTAAAGTAGAAGTTCCTATCATGCTCTTAAGAAATATTAATCCAAAAGAAGGACTCTGTAATGGTATTAGATTGATTGTAAAAGGATTTCAACAGCATGTGATAGATGCAAAAATTCTAACATGCTCACATCTTGGAAAGTGAGTTTTTATTCCTCGAATTAGAATAACTCCATCAGATATAGATTTGCTATTCCAATTAATTCATTATCAGTTTCCAATTTGTTTGGCCTTTGCCATAACTATTAATAAGTCACAAGGTCAAACAATACCATATATAGGATTATACTTGTCTAATCCAGTATTTCTCATGGACAATTATATGTAGCATTATTAAGGGTTCAATCAAAAGATAACATAAAGATTTTGGTTAAAAGTGGTCAATTCAAAGGTAAATCAGGTATATATACAAAAAACATTGTATATAAAGAAGTTTTTTAATTTAAAAATTTGTATATATTAGAAAATTTGTATATAATTTAAATAATATTTATATATATTTTAATTAATTTTATATATAGTTTTAAACTTATTAATTTATTTTAATTTGTATATAGTCATAAAAGTATTTATTTGAATTAATTTATATAATCTAATTTTGTATATATTTTAAAAGTATTTAAATTTAATTGTATATAATAAAAAATATTTATATAATAACTTTATAAATTATTTTATAGTTACAAAATAAGTTATGTATGAATTGATTAGAATTTTGTCACAAAGTGGCAAAATCCTGATCAATTCATACATCCTTATTTGTAAATTATTTATTAAATTAAGTGTTTAGCTAATGAGTTAGATTTAGAGTTAGGATTAGGGGGTTAGAATTAGGATTTGTGATTAGAGTTAGAGTTAGGATTAGGATTAGGATAGGTTAAGTTAGGTTAATTTATTCATCAACCCTAACGAGTTAGAGTTAGATTAGGATTAGGTTGGTTTATTAAATAAACCCCACCCTAATGCGTTAGGGTTAGTGTTAGAGTCAGGTTGGTTTATTAATCTATATTAATAAATTCATATATGATTTTTAATTTTAATTTATATTTATTTATATTAAAGATGGTACAGCAATTGATTTCAAATTTACAAAATGTTGCAACATAAGCTAAAATTAGTTGCAACATAT